TATGATGGATGAATCACATGTAACAAGAAGGACGATGGTCATGAATGTGAAAGTGTATCTCTAGAGAAAGACATAGAAAGGTATGGATGGATTGCGTGAAAGGTTAAATGATCAAGAAGGGAGTGATGACTGAGATGACGGATGACAGAGTTATTTGAAGGACGAAAATACGGTGAATTGACCCTACGGGAGTAGGATAAGGTAGGATGGTGATTAAATTATCTTTTTCATTAGAAAATGGTATCGTAAAGTGAACAGTATCAAATGTCAAGGATCAAATTGAAAGTGATTGTAACCGCAAAGCTACGTACAATAGTGTGGTTGGGAAGCAATTATGATTGTTGGCGTGGTGCCACACCGCGTGGAATTAATTCCAGACTCGACACACCTTCATTTAACACTCGTGAAATTGATATCATAAGCCAAGGGAATAACTAGTTATAAAAAAGTAACTCTATTATTTTTGCCGTAATAAAGATTCGTCACCTCGATTCATGATGTACCAACCCGTACTAAGCCAGCATGGTTAACCATGGCCTAGTCATTCCTAACTTAGAGTAGACTCTGAGCTCTTCCATGAGGTGGTGATGGAAAGATTCACCCGATTGGTATCTGTTATGGTATCAAGCAGACAGAAAATTACAAGGAGTGTCAATTTGTATTTAATTCTCTCAAATTTTTTTATAGAAAATCTACACTTAGAGTCTCATTTAGTCCATTGTACCTCTACAATGCAGGGTTTCAGAAGTTTACATTTATTTTATTTTTACCTAGTGATTCATTAGTGTTGACCTAAGTTTCGACGGAATAAAACTAGTTACGTAGTTAGGAAACGCATTTAATTTAGTTACCGAGCCAAAAGCTAATGATTGAGTAAAAGTAGCTGGGAAACCGGCCATAAGTACTACAGTAATTCTATAACATCGTATTCTTTACGTTCTACGTTTGTCTGACTTTTTTAGTAATGTTACAGTATGTTCTTTCACGTGTATTTGAAAATTAACCGCCAAAGCAATCAAGAAATGAGCACTAAACGATTGTTTAATGCAAATTGATTACTGTTGCCGGCCGCAGCGTCCGTCAACATTTGCACAACATTTGGCACGATTTGCACTAATTCCCCAACTCCCATATGCGTTAGCAAATTGCTTTGCACTCGCGGTAATATAAAATACAAACTTTATATGGCTATGTTTAAAGCAATGAAATGTACGCAATTTTCTATAAACTTAACCGTAAAATTCAACTGTCAAGTTACATTTACTCTATTTTTTGTTTCAAGAGTAAGAGAGATAGTAATATTATTAATATAGATATTACGAATGAGAAATCGTTAAAGTTAATTAGTAAAAATCTAGTTTTACAAAAAATGGTATAGTATCAAAACTGGTTAATCTGACTATTTTTATATTTTTGATGTATTACTCGCTTTTCACGCCAATATTCGTTGTTCTTTGTGTCTGTTCTTTATACCCTATATAAAAACTGAGCCCCGTTGAAATGGAAACAAGATTCCTCGTAGACAGGTTGTCACATAAATTCAATTTCTTGCGCATCGTCTAAATGAAGCGGTCGTCGTATTTCCACGTTGTCTTCGTTACGAAAGTGGGAGTGAAAGATATTGCTGGTTTTATATTAAATCCCTTGCAATGTAATCATGTGTAACAGTACTTTTACAAGCGTTGTTGAGACTGTAATACATATGTCTTACTTAACTTCTACTAGGCTGAAACAATCTTGATACTTTGCATTTTTCTATTTATTTTTTAAAACATACGTATTGATAAATAACTTAAAAAGGGCCTGTCTCACCAAATTGTAAATTGTCTGATAACAATCCAGAATAAAACATGTGATGGAAATATCCGATTTTGTTCCCTTATATGACAGTGACTTCATTTTGAAGCTATCTGAGTCTCTATCAGCCAGTGATGGGATAGGCCTCCAACCGTATATTTTAAAAAAGATGTTTTTTTTTTAAATTTCATAGTCATGGATGGCAAATTAAGGATCACAATTACATTGAATAATTAAAATGCATAACCCCGCTGAGGATAAAACATACGACAAAGCCAGCGATACTTTAATTATGCATATTTTGATGTCAGAATGTAAACTCGTTGACCTATTTGTTTATCCCGAAAACATTTGCTTTTTGACTGGCGGATAAAAAAGTTACGCGACTTTTTGTATTTTTATTAAAAATCCTATGTCGCATAGTTTTTATTTTTAACTGATAACTATGTATAATCGAAAATATGATTGGATCCAGCGCAGTCTTGTAAAAAAACTTTTTATTTTTTTACTAGTGGAATACATAAGCTTACTTTTTTTGAGACATTTTCTTTCGTTATTGAACATTAATTGTTACATAAATCGCTTTTCTTCCGCAAAAGTCCTTTAACAACATTTCTCTTAACGCTTTCGTGTCTGTCTGTACTTGCTAATTGTTTTATTATTACGTAAATTCACTCAGTAATGAAGATATTAAATCATCAAGGTACAGTCGCTGTTAAAACTGCTTTCTTACAGAGTTAAAATATTCAGAGAGTGCTGCATTAATGTTGCCAGGAACTTTGCGTTTCATGACTCGTTATGAATAATTTCAACCTTTGCGCTTCATACTTACGCTTGTAGGTGAATTAAATGTAGAAAGATTCATGAAAATGCTACGAGAAAAGTTTTATTTAGCTATTAAACGGAATTTTTGAATGCCATTATTTTTTAATATCGAGCAAATAAGTCTACAGAAGTGACTGTTAGAGACATTTGCTATTTAGTAATGAACTGGACTTAGCTATCGTACGACTGTTCAGTCGCGCTTTGATTAAGTAAATCAGTTATCAAACCAATAAAGAGGTGCGGCTAAACGATCCTGATAATTATGTTTAACTTTTACAATCAAAATTATTTATTGAAGTAAGTTTACTGTTAACGTAGATATCAAGTGTCAGTTCTACCAAGTCCTAAATTGCCTGATAGCAATCTAACGTGTAAAATGTGTGATGGAAATATTTTGTCCCCAGTGACGTCATCTTTAAGCTATCTGAGCCTCTATCAGCAAGTGGTAGGACAGGACCTAAGTGTCTAAAAATGTTTACGTTTATGGAATATAGTTTTATTACACTATTTATTAGATTTATCGAATATAGAGTCTTATTTTGTTTTTGTTTTAAAAATGACGTTAATTAATTTATTTTTATTTTTTCAACAATAAAAATAGACTATCATAGATGAAGATTGTTTTGTAGCACAGTATTTATATAGAGACTTTAGCCGCTTTTAATTACTTTTTTTGTAATGAAACATTTTATATTTAGCCTGTTTCTTTGCGAGTGTTTAAACTATAAAATAGCTATGAATATCTTTAAACAATCGACCTTGTAATTAGCAAATGTAATTAGAAGAATGGAATTACCTTTAATGGTACTTTTAAGGCATCGCGTGAGTACTTTTAGGGGCTATTAAATTTAAAATTACTATTTTTATGACAAATAACACAAATTATATATAACTCATAGTATAGACTGGTAACATACATATATGTAACTGGTATTCAATAGTGTTTTGGTGGATTCATTTGGACTCCAATAATTTAGAGTGTATTTTTGAAAGTATGTTAGTTTTTTGTACGATGGTTCATACGAGTATAGACCTACAAGTATCATTTGGCATTTGGAAATTATATAACTAACAATGTCATCTTGAAAGCGTCATATTTTCACCAATGAGAAAGCGGCAAGCACACTTGTGCATGTCGCCATTTTGTTAATTTATAAATTTGATACAAAAAAATAGCATATGGTTTTGTTGTGTTTGCAGCATGGGAAAATTTCGAAACGTGGAAATTTTTTGTCAATAAATACAGCTGTCAATGCCATAAAAATGCCATAAGATCCTTGTAGGTCTATATATCTTAGTCTGTAAAAAACTGAACCTAGTTTGAAAAGAGAGATGTCTTACGGTCTTTTTTTTAATGTTAAAAATAAACTTTTTCTTAAATAAAATATCCACAACAACAAAGTTTTAAACTTCATTTATTTAAATTGTGTACAATTGTGTTCTTCCAATAAGACATCCATTGGTCCTTCCAACATTCTCACATTTCCACAACATACACTTATTAATAAATATACATTTTTTTAACTTAATAATAATATTTACATTTATACAATTCATAGTTAAATATTTAAAAAGTTTTAACACTTAAAAAAGCGGATTTTTCAATGCTAGAAAACTTTCATCAGCATAGTTATTGGAAAATCTGATTTTATGTACACGATTATTTATTCAACTATTACTTGAGACTTTATTATAACTTAGTTAATAAGTTTACTTCGATTATTGTAAAGATTTCTATTTCTTAGTTATTTTCGTTATCAAATAGTCAAATCTATTCATAGCATAAATGGAAAGATTCTCTAATAGTAAATGCGATTGATTTGTTTTTCTTGTAAGCACCAACAAGGGAATCGAGATTGCAGATTTTAAACCTACTGTTTTAAAGGTTTACGCACGCATCTTTGACTAAACTATCGCAAAACTGTTTAGTCGCGCTTTGATTCCTTTAAGCTTTTATGGGGCACACTACTCGATTTTGATTTGTGTAAGTAAACAGTTGAATTGGCTGCGAAACAATTGACAATCGCAAAACAGAGCGTCGGTGGCTTTGAAATCGGCCCAGTAGTATTCGAGTTTTTAGAGCATCGGTGGCTCAGTGGTTTAAGCACATGACTTGTAATCATGTCTTGGGTTCGAATCCCGCTGTACCAATGTGATTTTCGCATTTTTCGAATTTTCATATGTAGATAATTTACCATCGGTGAAGGAAAACATTGTGCAACCTGCACATTTCGGCGAAGAAATTCAAAGATATGTGTGAAGTCAACCAACCCGCATTTGGCCAGCGTGGTTGACTATGACCTAGTCTCCCGAGCCCTAGGTGGGGACGTATAGTGAGCTGGTGATGATAATGAAAACAGTTGTGCGACAGTTTAGTCAAAGGTGTGCACCCGCTCTTAGTAGTTACTGTATTTAAAAACTTATTATCCATTAAATATCTATTAATTCTATTCGTTATTATTGTTAACATGTTATATTTAATTATAATTTCATTTCTGAATTAATGGATCTAAGTAAATAATGTTTTTAAAAACATATCCAGGAACGTTAAAAACTACTGCCCGACTTCAGATTATCAGAATAAAAAACTTCTTCTTCTTTTTTCGAATAAATTTTTCCATAAACACGAAACAATCTTGGTTGAATTTGAACATTTATTTAAAACTTGTTTTTACTTTTTAAATGTTTTCAACAATTTAAACTTGTGTAGCGTTCTCCACCGCATTTAATATTTCCTTGATTTCTGTTGAATGCCTTTTCTTGGTTTGTATTTGGTTAGGAACAGTCTTCGTTCTACCTAAAGATCCACTTACAACATTAACACTGTAAGTTGCTCGATCTTTTATAGGATTCTTAATGAAACTATCATTGTCAGCTAGAGTCACTTTGAGTGGTTTCTGTTGTCTTGATGCGATAGACATGGCTTGTAAACTTTGTAACTGGTTATTAATGTTCGGTGAGCTTAGACTATTTCTAGGTATTGTCGCGTGAGGTGTACCAGGAGCTGGTGAAGGTGCAGGTTCAGACTCATCTAAATCATCATGCATAGAGTATTTACTGACTGGACCTAAATCAATCTCACTCTTGTTTAAGCTGTAGTAGTTCCCATTTCCGAAGAGTTTCATATTAAAGCTGTCGTAATATGGTATAACACCGTTCAGATTTGTGAATGCTTGACGACTGTCTGGATAACTCATCCTTGGTCTTCTTGGTAAGGTGACGTATCCTTTCGGGTTGATTAGTGGTATCGTACTTTGGTTTGAATTAGCACTCTGAAGAGTGTTGTACATGATAGGATTGAAGTCGGTTTCGAAGTTAGGAGATTTGATTGGACTTCTAATATGTTTTTGATTTATTTGCTTGTCTTGTATAATATTTGATGGTGAAACTTGATTGCTGTTTCTGAGAGGGAATGATAGAAGATCAGGAGGATATGCTTGGTGTTCTTGAGTTAGACGATCTAGTAAGATTTCCTTAGACCGATTTGGCATTTCTACTTGATGACGTCGATTCATGTTTTCTTCATAGGACGCTGTAAAAAACGGAAATGGTTTAAATGTCTTGTGAATATAGATGTAAAAAATATTCCTAGATCAAAAATATTTAATATTTCCTCGCCTTGGAATACAACTTGTACATGTCATATCAATGTTAATTATAATAAAATAACATAATTTTTTTTATTTTAAATAAGGAATGTGTAAATTTTATGTCGATTGGCGTTTTAAATAAATTAACAATGGAAATGTGTAAAAGCTTCAAAGGTATTAAAATAAAATATGTTTTCGCGGCTTGTTTATTTATGGACTTGGTAATGAATAAAAATCCCAATTTACATTTTACTAATTAACCACTAATAACAGTGGGTGGATTTTCCGCTATAAATAACACAAAGGGATGTTTTATAAAGTCCTGAAAAACAAATACGGAAAACATGCCCACGTCATTCAATAAAGTTTATTCATGAACTTATAAAAGCGAAAGTTTGGATGGATGGATGGATGCTTGTTAGAGTTTGTAGACTAAAATAGTGAACGGATCTCGATGAAAGATATTAGATTTTTTAATTCTACGAGGACGGAATTGTGGGCGATAGCTGGTTGATAATAAAGATCTCAGATTTGAATTAATATGTTATGTAAATTTTATCCTTACCTAAGACAGATTCATTCTCGAGCAAAGTTTTGTTAAGTTCTGACATCTCTGTTGCATCACTTGTAAGAGATGGTACTTCTTCACATTTTCTAGCTGGTTTTGTAATTGGATTTACTTCAGATTTTATTCCTTTCTCTGGTTCAGAAGCCACTGATCCTTCAATAAGAGCTTCGCCATTAGAGGATCGTGTGTCAGTTTTGATTAATCTTTTCATTTCCGAATTTTGTGAAGTTAGCAAGCAAACTGCTATCACCGCTCCGAATATTATCACAATAGCTGTTAGACAACCTATAAGTATTGCAAATGTATCTATATCCATGCCAGCTATAGTGCCAGCTCCTGCATACTTTGATAGAACCAGAATTATAGTTTTCTCATCTCTTCCTCCAGGATTCTCAGCGACACAAGTGTAATTCCCTCTATCACTATAACGGGAATGTATTATAGTCAGATTAACCCATCTTATTAAATCCATAGTATTTTCTACAAGAGAATATCTAATTTCACTAAACGATTTAATTTCTATTAGTTTTCCATTAAAACGCCAAGTGACATCCGGTGGTGGATTTCCAACGACTTTACAAGTGAGAGTAACATTATCATCGTAACTTTTGATCGTTGAGTCAGGAAGTGGTTCTAATATTGTCGGTCGACAGGCAAAGTTCGATGAATCTAGTTCGTTCCAAAGTTTATCACGGATCGAAGCGGGTTCAGCACACGACGTCGGTGGTGTGTACAAATTATGACTTATAACCCAATCTCTGAAAGATTGTAAATTACAGTCGCATCTCCAAGGATTATTATGCAGATCCAAGCCGGATAAATTTCTCAGCGAACTTAAAGTTTCCGGTTTCATGTGATTTAAGTTATTACCATCGAAACGTAGTATCTTTAACTGTGGCAAGTTTATGAAAGCTTTCGTGCTTATTCGAACTATCCTATTGTTACTCATTTCGACTTTCTGAAGGAACTTCAAGTTTCTGAACAGACCTTCCTCTAACTTATCAATATAATTATTGTTTAAATTTATCAATCTCAATTTTTCAGTACCTTTAAAAGTGTCAGGGTGTAAATATCTAATGTAATTTTTTGACATATCTAATTCTATCATTATCGCTAAAGATAAGAAGGCTGCCTTATGTATTATTTCTATATTACAATCTCTTAAAAACAACTTCTTCAAATTACTTAGGCCTACCCTCTTAAAAGCCTCTTGGGGTAACTGGTGTAAGTTATTGTTCGAGAGATCTAAGATTTGTACGTCATTACTGAGATTGGCCGGCACGACCTTCAGGCTTGAGTTTGAGCAAATTGCGGCTTTGTTTCCCGATTGCCATCTACAGTCGCAAGGCCTCTGACATTCTGTTGTAAAGTCGGCAATTGTGAAGGATAATAGTACAATGCACACTATGAATGTTTTCATCCATGTTTTCCAACATTTGTGAGCCATTTTGCTATGATATTGGTCATTTCTTCGTTACAGGGCATTCCTGCTCGCTACACTTGCCTCGATACATAGGTAATCTGAAACAGAAAATGTTATACTTAACACAATTAGTACTAACGGTCAAATACTAAAAATTATAAGGCCAAGCTTAAACTCCAATTCCTTACAAATTTTGAAGTCTGTTAGATTGTGAACGGTGCTTACGAAGCAAACTATTTCAGATTCATTTCAGCTCTTAAAAACATCAGTTGCTAAAACAAGCGAAGTCAACGCACTGGACCAGCGTGATCGACTGTGACCTAGTCTCGAACCTAGGTAAACACCGATGGATGGAGACATGTATGACGACAATTACGGTACTGCTAACATCTAGTTTTGGTCCCTTTACGCAGTACTTTTTTTTTGTTCAGTACCAACTTGCCCTTATCCCTTATGGAGGATCGGAACAGTATGTGCTGCTCTTCCATACATCTCTATTGTTACGACTAAGTATTATTTATTAAGTTAACCATTGAATAGTCTATTTCGCTACATAAAGTGATTGATATTATGTTATTTACAGTAATAAGGCACTTAATACTTTATGTTGAATTGTAAGTTTATATAGCATACTAATTCGACCTTTAGCTAGCCAAGGTCACTTTAGCAAGGTTACACACTTTTGTCACGCTATTCCTGCTTGTTCTGAGGCAGTGTGTGCCCTACCTTGTGTCATTATTTGTCTATGAGTATTTTTAAACGAGCATTCACGCCTTTTTATTTAATTGGAGTAGACGTAGACAGCAATTTGCGAACATACATATACTTTGTTTATTTCTATGTTTGTAATTTGAAATTCTTTATCTCCTTAAGGTTAAATTACTTGTAAATTCATTAAAATCTATTATTATTGTTAAAAAACGTAACAAAAAGGCACAAAGTGTAACGCGCTGTTGAAATATTTGGTGCGATTAAATGTGTTTTCACTTCAAACGTAATGAAAGTTCTGAATAAAGCTTTCTCAAAGCTCGACCTCAAAGAAAATGTTCTCTTAGAATTAATAAACATCTTGGTTTGTGTCCTGGTGAAGTTTAATATCTAATAAGAAATAGTCTTATAGGCACAAAGTTATTGCTAAAAAAATATAACCCAAGAGACATGTCTCTTAAATATATTTATACCAAAAGACTAGAAAAAATTACATTTATTCCTATCATAAGGTCATCGCATATTAGACCTAAACGACATTACCTTCTCACTATTTTGTTCCGCTGGCACCCGTTGAATATAAGTGGAAATGTTTGCCAAATCGCCGTTCGACTGCCTTCGGCGTGCACATTGCCGGGAGGTGAAATATGCGATAACCTTTAAAGTGGTTTATTTCAGGGAAAAATACGTGTTGCTAAAATTCGTAATACTTACGTGTAAACAAATCAGACTCAGGTTTTCTGTAACAATAGAAAAATATTTTAGTATACAATAACAGTGAGAAACCAACGCTACATGTGTAGTTTTAAACAGTTTGTTTAAATGATTGTAACGTCGCAATTTTATAATTTTTATTAAGCAAAATTTAAAAGAATCTCGTTATAATGTCGAAACCTTTTCAAGTATCTTTTAGTTTTCAACTTTTTATAAAACATCAGTTGGAATTTAGCCCAAATTTCAAGCCTCGTTTAACCTTTCAATGATCTATTTTTCATTTTAGCATCAAAGTTTAAAATTATGAAATATTAATGTTTAAAAATTTGGCCTTCTGTTTATTAAAATAATTAACAAAATGATTAAAGTAAAATCTAAATATTTTCTTAACTTAAACAACAAAAATCGACTTCCAAACAAAATACACTCAAAACAAAATATTCTCAAACAAACAGTACACTAAAAAGTAACGAAACGTTTCCTTGAAAATAGTATACCTCCCTTATTGTAGCTGTTATGTCTATATTGTACAATTATTATTACTTTGATGATTGCGAACATACAGAAGAATTGAGTACCTCCTTCTTTTGGGATGTCGGTCAAAAATGAAAATTTTCGGCTAAATAAAATTTAAAGATTTTCTAAAAAAAGAAATTTATTAGAAGAATTAATATGAAAACTATCAATCTAAATAACACACGATAATAAAAGATTATTACTTGGAAGAAAATTTAATAGTAAATCTACATATGTATAAACATATGTTACCGGAAATTTGTGATAACTAGGAATTGCATACTTTGTCTAGGAGAAGTATAGAATTTCAAAACTGTTTTGGCAAGGTGTAAAATGTTTCAAAGATTATTAAATACATATCCAGGTAATTACAAATTTCCTAGAAATTGCATGGAATTTCAAAATCGCAATAAGCAAGGTATGAAAACAATGTTTTCTATGAATAAAATTGTTAAATAGCATTTGTAACCCTCAATATTGTGTACAATGACAGATTTCATACATTTCCGTCAACATATACATTAAAATATTAACTAGTTTATTTTCAAACGCAACAACAATTTCTATTAATTATTAAATAACTCAAGTCTAGTTTCAAATTTTGTTATCGTACAAATTAAAAGTTGCCTAACATGATATAATTTACCGCTATAATTATGTCGACCATCGAAATACAATAATCATAGCTTGTTCCCAAAACAAGTTTTAATAACAACCTCGAAAACTAAAGTTACAAGGATTTATTAAACAGGTGTTAGTGTTACCATGAACTATCAACAGAATATAGGTAGAATAAAGCCTGCTACACACGTCTAATTTGTCTACACACGTTAGATTCATCTGATCCGATTGTTCAGATAAAATGTTTCAGATAAGACAATTATAGAGATGTGTGGAAGAGTACATAATGTTCTTACCCTCTGTAAGGAATAGTGTTTATTATATTAGTAGTAGTAGTAGTAGTAGTAGTAGTAGTATATATTAGTGTTTTTTTCTGCAAGGTTTTCAAGTTATTTAAGGTTTTAAGTATTTTTATACTAACCAATAAGAAAGCTGAGCTACAGAAATTAGAATTCCGAGTTTGATGTAATCTGCGTCACTCTAACTTCCAACATTAATCCAATGAAATCAAAATTCAAAATGATAATACAATTTGTAATCTTGATAGAATAAATGAGACATTTATCAAATAACTTTGAAGTGAGTGACATTTTGCTGCATAGACTTTAGAACTGAACAGAGGTTCCAGTAACAAAACAGCAATTAAGAAGAGGCAATTTTAGTTGGAGAGTATCTGTACGATGTTAATCAATCTGAAGTTAAAAGTCTTAACAAGTTTCGAATCTATTGTCATCTACGATTGCTTTGGAAAGCGTCCGCTTCGCTATTTAAGAGAATTTTAGTACTGACGTAATTTCATTCAAGGATGGTTTTTTTATAATATAAAGTAGCAAACGAGCAAGCGCCCACCTGAATCCACCGAAATGGAAAGCGACCGCTGCCCATAAACATCCGCAATTGACGGAGAAGACGCACATAAAGAGGACATTTCCCCTTCCTATGCGTCTACTCCACCGTCAAATCCACTTTTCCTTCCCATCCTTTCTCTAAAGAAAAGGGTGAAAAGGAAAGGGACTGAAATTAGGCCTCCTGCACCACACTCATCAGACTGTACACGGAATTATTTCCATTTCACGCCTGTTATCTGTGTGGTCGCGGTACACCGGGCGAGCCGGCCCATTCGTGCGAAGATGTTAAAGCGGTCTCTACCACTGTTGGCTTCTAGAATATTATTATTTTTTAAATATTAAGTGAGGGGAGTTCAAATACTTTATTATTTATGTAACGTGATTTTTTTATTATCTAGTAACTTTAGGATCAAGCGTTCGTAAAACCAGACGTCCTACCAAGAGATCTTCCTGGTACCTGAATTTTTAATACTGCGCTACATTCACACCTCTCCTCACCCAGTTAGCCGACTCGTTTCTTGCGAATCTATTTACTTATTTATAAGCAAAACCTGTTAGCAATTCACTTGATGTAAATTCTACTTTACATTTCGTAATTATATACATATTAGCTGTTCCCATGCGAATTCATCCGCATAAAATTATGAAAAATTTATTTTATTGTTTACATGTCAAATTGACATGACATGACAAACCTTGACAATCTTGCTTCCTTGATGTTGGCAGCAACTTATGGTCTCTTTCCCACATTAGGATTTTATCCAAAATATTTAACCCCTAAGTTTAATGGCGTGAAAATATATAGCCTAAAGCGTGACGTAAATGTAGGGCTTTTTATTTAAAAAATAGTTATTCAAAAATATGCTGTGATTGCTGACATCTTAGACAACAATGAAGTGTGTGTTTACGCTTTATTATAACAGTATAGATATATAGTATAGATATAGACAGATTTTTTTAATTAAATTCAATTAGGATTAGTGTTCTTGTCTATTTCAATTGCAGGAATGCTTTATTGTTTTCTGTATTACAAAACGACGTGACGAATGTGGGTACAATGATAGAGGAAGTCCGAAAAAAATATGGATTGTGTGAAAGATATGCTTAAAGTAGTGAATTCAGATACGAAGGCTGATAGAGATGTATAAAAGAGTACATATTGTGCCGACCTTCGGTATGAACAAGAGTAAGTTCATAATAATGATAATGATATTAAAATCTATTAGGTAGTCTGTCAGAACAATCGTACACAAACCTAGACAGTCCTTTTACTCTTGAAAATTTCGAAGTGTTTCGGTTACAATTTATCGACATTTCAAAACATAACCAGACCGTATCAAATCTAACGAAGTTCACAATCGTTCGGTGACATGTCAGCTGAGCAAACAGAATGCGATAGATGGACGGGAATCGAGTCATTGGGGTGCGAAATGAGGCTGCGGGAGTCAGACGGGCAGTGCGATTGATGCCTACTGCGCTGTTTAGGCAAAATACTTGATGCGGTAATGAAATCAAATGCTGATGTTATTTAAAACAACATGCTGTTTATAGGCTGTTTTAGGTTTCTTTTATTTTCTTATCTCATTGTGAAATTGGAATTTTTTTCTCATGTCTTAACTATCTTAGTGATGTTATAAATGCGAAAGTTTAGATCGGAACTCGATGAAATTTGGCATACATATAGTCTGAAAGAACACATAGGCTTTTGTTTAATTTTTAACTCCACGCTGACTGAGTTACTGGCGAAAGTTAGTTTTATATTGTACATAGTTTAGTTGCTATCACATAAGCTGATTTGACAGAAATAAAATTACATGAAAACAACAATTCTTTTAATTTTTAAAATCATTTGAACAAACCGAGATATACAAAGTTTCTACCAAGTAAAATTCAAATCTTAGTTATTTTACATTACTTCAGTCTGGAATTTACGTAATGTTCGAATATCCATACATACTCGTACGTAGTGCTATGTGCAGAGTTCCCGCGTCGCAGCTGCGTCACACGCGGGATTAGCCACCGGTCTGGTAAGCACGTACGGTAAATTACACCAGTCTATTGCTATTGTGAGGCAAACCTAGGATCGCACACCTGAAACTAAACTATCGTACAACTGTTGAGTCTGACTTTGATTCCTAACCTTATATGGAGGCGGAATTCATTACTCATTAGACATCCAAAATCTTCGTTACCTACATAAAAATAATTGAAATAACATTTAATTCAATTACATTTCCAAAGTACTATTAATTCCCGTGTAAATATTTATTCGCATTAATGAAATGTACGCGGTCATCATTTCCAGTTGAAACCGGATACGTGCAGTCGAAATTGGAACTCGGATTTATTTGGTACAGCGTATTGACTACGGATATTGCTTGGGTCTTTGTTGAAACGCCGAATTTTGCACCAAGCTGCACTATGCAGCGGGAAAAGGAATTTGCTTGAAATTGCAACTTGTTTAATTAACAATTAGTAATTGAAGGCAACTTCTGAATTTATGTAAATTGTTATATACGATTACGTTGACTCCCACTTTATTTCTAACTCATCTACTTTTCGTTATACCTCCTTTTTCTAAAAATCCATAGGACGCTGGTTCCGATCCGGCTCAAAGGACTATTTGTTGACACTCCAACGAGACTTGGTCCACAATAACGACTCACACTTAAGATAGGAGAAACTAAATTATAACTTTCTCTTTCCCTTCATACATTCAAAAACTCCTACATATAAAAACGTTGCAATATCAATTACCAATCGGATCTGTGTATGTTATAAACTACAACAAAATGATACAGTGCCTATGAACCAACGTTACGCCGTGTAACATCATTGCAACGCAAGAAGTAATTCATTGCTCGTATCTTTCCCTGTGACTACGGACTGACTGCAATAATTACCGCCATGTAACATCTATAAAGAGGAAAGATTTGCATTTTTGGATTTTTGTACATATTTAATTCACGCAAAAACTACTGGGCCGATTTTAAAAATTCTTTCACCATTAGGAAGGTAATATATTTGTAAGTAACATAGGC